TGATACAACTGTTTGTGGCCTCATATTCACTTAGCTTCTGTGATAGGAATCTCAGTTTTGCTTTCTTCACGAACTCAGATAATTTCATCTTCGCTAGCACATAACTGGTTCCACAGAGCAGCTCGATCAATATTTGGAAAGTTCGGCAACTCCTTACATCATACTCAAAAGAGGCCAAATATACTCCTGTTCCTCACAGACCAAAGTAACCAATATATCCAAATCAAAATCTAATTCGCTGCCATTATCAGTAGTGCTGATGACACAATCAACAAGCCTCTTTTCAGCATCCTCCCCCGGTAAGATTCTTGTAGGTCTTTTTTGGAGGTGGAGATGATCTTCTTGTAGGAGTAGCAAATCGTAAACTTGAGGACGTTGGACTGTAATTTGGCAATGATGAAGGCCTTCCTCCTGCTTGTGATGTATTAGTTCCCGAACGAGGAGATGGACTTAAACGATTTGGACTTGCACTGCCCCTACTGCTTCTGCGACTTTTCTCCATCTAAAAACATAAAAGGCATCCAATGTATGATGAATAAGGACTATTTGCTCAATCACATTATTTGAGATGGAAAGAATTAAAGGAACTTTTCCAACTAATAATGCAGGAAGAATATAATAATAATAAGGATTTCAAAATCTCACAGTAGAAGATCTTGATATGGAAATGGGTTTACTCTATCTTCCTCTGCTTGCAACATTAGTAAATGGTGGATCTTCATCCATTGAAGGAAACAGTGGCGTATCAGGTGGTGTCAATAACCTTAAAATGACCGATACAGACATGAAATCAATGAGTGATATAAGCAGTTGTGACCAAAAATCAACAGATGCACAACTTAGGGATCAAGAAATCGGCATTATAGTCTGACCACGTCCATGCATTCTTAATGTAGAAACAAAGACAATTGCAAACAGTTAAAGTCAACTCATTGATACCCTTTTTGTTTTTGGTGTAGCCTATTTTACTTTCCAAATATACATTTTTTAGTTTTTCTTTTCCATGCTTAAATTCTCATAAGGCCTAATAATTGTTCGACAGCGGTTTCCTTTTCTAATTTATTATACAAAGAAACACAAAAGAGCACAGCTAGTGTGAAATAAAGGAAATTGAAAACAGTCGGAACCGAAAATACATTATTCAATGACAATTCACAAAGTGATTCAACATATGAAATTTAAACATAAGGAATATGACTCACCAGTTATAGTCATCCTTGTCACCATCTATATTAAGCAAGTCACTAGTTCCTCGCCGACTAGGAATGGAGATTCCAACATTGACATCTGATAAATGTCTAAACCTTGTAGCTGTAAAATAATACCCGCGAGATAAAAAGTAAGAAATATATTAATAAATATTACCCCAATAAATCAACCAAAGAAAGACACAACATTTTCATATGAAGTCGACAAAGAAAATTACCGAATGAATCTTCCAAGTCATCTGAAGACTGAAGCAAAAAACTATCTATTTCTCTAGTTTACATTTAATTGAACAAAGCAAGATCGTCATCGTTCCCCCGGAGAAGTATTCCACTTTCAAGACTGTGCCTCCGCTTATGACCATCTCCTCTCGCCTCTTTCCCCGGAGAGTATCTCAATGCAGGGGAAGGCGGCATCTCCACTTCCCAAACCAGTATCAGGCAAGTATTACTGTGACGCCTCCAAATAAACCAAAATATAAAACCTAACCAGTAGCACCCATAAGTTTATCTCAATTCCCAAGCCTACAACAAATTTAAACACCAATCATCACTTTCAGCACAAACAAAAAAGAGAAAGCTTCTATTGGTACTTAGATGAAATACCCAATAAACACTAGCATCATACTGATTAAGACAGAGTCAACAAAACAACATAAATATAGAAATGAATGAAAATTAAACATATTAAAATAGTAACCTGATGGGAATAGGAACAACTGTACTATTAAAAATGCAATAATGACTCAATAATAACTCAATAATAGCTCAACATTCACACTTACACACACACACACACACACACACAAATTTCCACAAATAAAAATACCAGAGGTATACCAAGTATATTCTTCATAAGCTCCAGAGTAAGATAAAATGACTTACCCAAGCTCGCCGAGCTTAAGATGTGCTTCAGCATAATCAGCAAAGAAGGCATCTTCGTCCTGTAAACATTGACAGATGAGAATTATTTCATTAACTTTACAGTAGATATTATAATTTCACATAGAATAGTATTACAGAAATATACTTACCATAACATATTTCTCAACAAGAGGGCGGAATACAGAGTCAGTCAAAAGTGCCTTGTCACTTGGCAACTGCAGAAGACCATCCTTCTCACCAGTCAACAACTCACTGTAAATTTATCAATAATGTTGTCAATAAAGAGAACTGAAAACTAGATCAAAGGTGTCGTCATGGATGAAAGACAGTGTTTCAAAAGACTTACGTGAAGTATGAGTTGTCAAAAATGAGAGGGTTAGAAGTCCATGGTCCCTCAAATCCAGAACGTTCCTTGTGTGCAGCTCCCTTCCAATTACATTAAGCATAACCAAAACACTCAATACCATAACATTGATAACACATCTTTATATATAATACTTACATAAGTTTGCTGAATTATACAGCTAGAAGTATCGTGTTTTTGATACTCCAGACCCGTTAATAGTAGTACTATTAACGACCACATCCTGAATTGCACAATATAGATGATAATGCAAATCTCAATATTAATGGTTTATTAAATACTAAAGTAAAACTAGGAGCAAGCTTAAAGTTATGACATCCAATAGTGTGACCACCAGATAGAGCCACAATGTCCTGATCACTTAGCCCCATAGCTTTGCCAAACACATCCCTCAAATGGTCGGAACCTGCAATAATCAAGAATCAAATACTGAACAAAATGTATACAATCAATCATGTAGAGTAATTCACATAACAAATCCAAACCACTGACCTTTAGTGGCATCAGGCAAGCGACCCTCTGGTGGCGACTCAGGTTTGTCCTGATATGAAAACATAACAAAAGCACTGATATGAAGAGTCTCAAGGCCATCTCTATCTATATCATAAAGTGGTATATCATAATGTTGTTAGATTAAAAATAAAAAACAAATCCCTTTATTTACCGAGCAAAAAATAAACTTAACGTTATTTGAATTTATGACCAGTGAGTCTCATTTACTATTGACAATTATGTCACGTTAAAGAAAAAACATAGAGGTTGATGAGATTAGACTGGTCAAATGTACATGTACTGGTCACTGCATGGAACTGAGTTAAGTTATATGCCACAATATGTTTATATATAGGTCTGTTTCTCTGTGTTTTTGTCACAGACACAACTTTTCCTGAGTCATCATCACCAACACCACAAACAAACACATAACCAGTCTTTGCCTTCACCTTTCTTCTATCATTTTCAAGACCTCTGAAATCTTGATAACTCATATTATCATGGCAGCTTTTTCATATCAACTACCTTTTCTTGTTGACTCCTCATCTTACTTCACTAATATAAACAATTCCCTTGCTCCTCACACTCTTCATGTTCATCAAGATAACTCTATTAGTAATCAAGAAAACGAATCGATTAAAATTTAAAACAGAACACAATGACGAAAGACAATATTAGACTAACACTTGAGTCCTAACATAATATGATAATCATTCAGAATAATTAACTATTTGTTTCTCTGAGGCATTTAATCGAACATCTAACATACATATCAATTATAAGAGCAAAAAATATCAATTCTAGTATGCTTAAGAAATACTTGTGCTTTCCTTCAAAATAGTGATTCTGAAGCTTTAAAGAGAGACAAAGATCACCGAGTGGAACGAGGTTATTAACTATCGTTGCTGCAGAGATTGTCGAGCTCGTTGTCATCACCGTGTCGACATCAGAACTATCTGAACTCATAACCTTTCACCAAGTACAAGATTGCTACTAATGAAGGCTCGTGGAGCTGTTGGTGTCGCAGTTGTTGCGTGTCGCAGATGCGATTGACGTCGAGTTTGCGTGACGAAAGAGGCTTATGACAATACTGATCCATATTTCTTCGCAAGTTAAGCTTTGTGCTTTGTCCTTGTTTGCGAAGGAGAAGATAACAACAATAGTGAAAATGAGAACCACAAATCAAAAACTGCGTCGAAACCGTGGATGTTGCAATAATCACTGATGATTTGAGCAGAGAGAGCTCTCGTTCAACATTTATTCACGTGTTGATTCGGATTTGTGGTGTAGTGTGTTGGAAATGGGTTATGAAGTTTTGTTGTTATGGTCAATGTGTCCTCCGGTGGTGTGAAGGTGAGAGGGATGAAGTATTGATGAAGGTGAAGGCGAGCAAATTCTCTAACCCTAATCCCTTTTCCCCTCTTCCTTTTCCTTTCCGTTTTTTTTCTCTTTTTTTTATTTAATTAATCTTTTTCTATTTCTATTCCTAGTAATATATTTAATAAGAGATCTTAATAAATAATATTAATAGCATTTTAAAAAAAGCGCTATGTTATTAAAGTTTAATAATAGCGTTTTTAAATAAAGTGCTATCAAAATCATATTGTCAACACTTTATAATAGTGCCCGACCATAAAGTGCTATTATAAATATGTTTATTTCTTTTTTAATATCACTTTTTTTAAAAGTGCTATTATAAATATATTTGTTTCCTTTATAATAATAGCGCTTTTTAATAAAGTGCTATAAAAATCATATTGTCAACACTTTATAATAGCGCCCGACCATAAATTGCTATTATAAATATGTTTGTTTCTTTTTTAATAGCACTTTTTTTAAAAGTGCTATTATAGATATGTTTGTTTCCTTTATAATCATAGCGCTTTTTAATAAAGTGCTATCAAAATCATATTGTCAACACTTTATAATAGCGTCCGACCATAAAGTGCTATTATAAATATGTTTGTTTCTTTTTTAATAGCATTTTTTTAAAAAGTGCTATTATAGATATGTTTGTTTCCTTTATAATAATAGCGCTTTTTAATGGGTGATTCATGGGTGATTCAAAGCGATCAGTGAAAAATAAAGCTAAAGTTGAAGGATCAATATGTGCACATTATTTGCATCGGGAAACATCACATTTTTGCAGTCATTATTTCAATCATTTGATGTTAACTCCAAGAATCATAAGGAATGAATTTGATGTTAACAAAAGAAGTCAATTTACCTTGTCAATCTTCGGTCTTCCCGGTCGCCCTTCTGGAAAGGAGAATGTGCATTGGCTGACCCAAAAAGAATTGCAATCTGCACACGTTCATGTTCTAATCAACTGTATTGAAGTTAGGCCATATCTTGAGTAAGTATACCCCTAACGTAACTACCTATCTGGCTTTACAAATTGAATTATTACATTCTAACTAATAATGTGTTTCTTTATAGGGCATTTAACGCCTCCTATTTTCAAAGCACCGGTGAACAAGCAACTACCGGTCACATACATGCATCTTTTCCAGCATGGTTCAAGGATCAATTGTCATGCATTGTTGCACCGACTCAAGAAATACTTCATTTGTGAAACTTATATAGAGGGCCTGTTCAAAGAGCAATTGAATGGCACACATACTTTGTGAACGGCTATAAATTTCACACCCAGGCTTAGACAGAAGGGAAAAAAACCATAAATAGTGGTGTATATGTTAAAGGAGTTACAGATGGTGGTGAAGACAACTTCTATGGCGTTGTTACGCATATTTACGAGTTGGCATACAATTACTTGGACTCGAAAAATAGAGTTGTCTTGTTTTATTGTGATTGGCATGATCCATCTGCCAGGGGCACAAAAATAGATAAGAAATATAACACTGTTGATATTCGAATGGACAGAAGGTACAAAGAGTATGGCCCTTTCATAATGTCACATATCATTAAACGAGTTTATTATGTTACGTACCCTTCAATTCAGACACGTAAACGTGGATGGTGTGTTGTAATCAAAACAAAACCATTGGGTCATATTGAAACTGATGATCTAGTGGAAGATGCTGCTTACTAAGAGCATGAAATTTCTCAAATTAATGATGTGGTTGAAGTTGAAGAAATTACAAATTTGTGTAATACATTGGCCGAGGGTCATCAAATTGATACATCTATGTTGTTGGTAGATAATAATGTGGACGAAGAGCATGAAGAGTTTGGATCTGGGGACATTATTGGATCAGATGATGAAAATAATATGGACGAAGAGCATGAAGAGTTTGAATAGATAGTTTTTATATGTGTTCGAACAATTTTTATTAATGTATTATTTGTTTTATATGAATGCAAATGATTTTTACGTATGTATACTGTGTTGATAATAGTCTTGATTTATTTACGTATTATTTATTTATTGATAACTCTTTCAAAATAGATACAATGCCACCCCGAACTGACAAGGGTAAGGCTAAGGAGACCCAGCCCCGTTCGAGAGCCAGAGTACGTGAGGTACCACCCTCGCCCATGTATGCTTCTCGCCCACAGACTCAGGCAGATCTAATGTCCGTAGACACTTCACAACCATTTACGACATTACTCTCCTCCTCCCAAACGGTTCTATCTGGGAATCCATCATTTATTAGTCCGTTTGGGGGATCCTTCATGCATCCATCTACGTTTACGCAGCAGTCTGGGGGATCTAGTTTTCCTGGGGGAGCTAGTTTTCTTCCTCAGCATTATTCCTTCACACAACCTGGGGGATCTGTTTTTCCTCAACAGTATTCCTTCACGTTGCAGCCTTCAGGATCTAGTTTTCCTCAGCCGACTCCCTCCACGCACCAGCCAGAGGGATCTGGCTCCCGCATTCCACACCCCACACATATACCTGCGCGTCAGCAGCAAGATGACCATACTATTCAGGAGGATGACAATGTTCATGAGGAGCAGAGAAATCATGTTGTAGAAGAGCTTTTGGTGGTTGAAGGACGACATCTGATTAGGCCTGAGGGATCTGGGTATGTTTTTAATTTATAATATTTATTTAACTATATATTGCCATTTTATGTTTAATACTCGTTCAAATTATTGTTGTTTAGTTTTGATCCGTGTCGGCCTGCTGCAAAAGCTGTAAACTGGGTCATTCAAGTGATGTATACAAAACTCATTAAGTCTTTCGGAGAGCTCCCAGATACTGAGAAAGATATATGGTTTGATAAATTCAAGGTAAATTGTATTTTTATTATAGTTATGTTATTATTTTATAACTATTTTTTGTTATATATATCTAACATTTTATTTTACTGTCATATAACTTGCAGGAAAGGTGTACTTTGCAAAAATTTGACGAGTTCAAAATTTTAAAAAAATTCAGAAGTAAGGTATCTAGCAGATTATCTGACATGCTCAGGAATGCTAGACAACGTTGGGACAAAGATCAAACTCGTCCTAACTGGATAGGCGAGGAAATATTTAGGGAACTTATTGAGTGGTGGAAGATAAAAGATTTTCAGAGAAGATCTAAACATGCTAAAAAGATGAGGGCATCTGAAGCAGATGGTTGTCTTAGTACAGTTGGAAGTATGAGTATCGGCGAACATCGTCGACGAATGGTAATTATAACTATTTTTTTAAGTTTTATTTTGTATTATTATATATTTAATTAAACTTCATTATTTTAATTAGAAAAAGGATTTGGGGAGGGAGCCACGAATTAATGAGCTATTTGTGAAGACCCGAACCAAAAAATCGGGGGAGTTTATTGACGGCCGTTCCAAATCAACCTTGGTAACTTGTTTATTATAGTTGAATTCTTTTAATTTCATAATTACTGTATATAATTAAATTGTTTAAATTATATTTAATTTAATTTAATTTTTTTAATGTGTGTGTAGGAGATGTACCAGACCTTGCTTGCCCAATTTCTAGCTGAAAATCCTCAATATGTGCCGATTGGGAATACACCGCTTGATCCACGCGTGGATCTTTATATTTGGAATTTAACAGTAGGCGGGAAGGGAGTCAATGGATGTTTTTTGGTCTGGAGTCTTTGGCTGGCGAATATAGAAAAGGGGACCGAACTTTATTTCAAAGACTCGATGATGGGGAAGGAGGATCTCATCCGGCAGAATTGACACCATAAATGTTGACAACAGTGAGACAGTTAGCTCTATCTGAGGCGAGGCGAGAGGCGGAGGCACGTGAGGCGACCTTAAAGGCCGAAATGGAGAATATGAGAAATAGACAAAATGCTGAAATAGAGGAAATGAGGAAGCGGCAACCAGACATGGAGGCACAAATGCGAAATTTTTTTGCCTCGAGATCAGATTATTTTGTCTAAGATGATGAAGAAGACGAAGATGCACAATTCACCGACGAAGAATAACTTTTTTTTATTATTGTTTATATTTGTGACGTGAATATTACGTGACAATTTTTTATTTTATTTTTTATATTTGTGACGTGAATTCATGTGACTAAATATTTATATTTTTTTAATGTATATTATTTTAATTTTTTAAATTTTATAGTTAATATTTAATATTTATTTTAATTTTATAGTTGTTTTCAATTAATATTTATTTATTTTTTTTATTATTAAATTTAATAGTGAAGTGCAAATCATATCACTAATCTAAAACATATTTTCATTGTGGCATGCATATCACGTCACTAATTAGTGACGTGGGTATCACATGGGAAACAAGTCACAAATTAGTGACGTGGGAATAACATGGGAAACAAAGACAAAATTGGTAAAGGTAGGTTCCCACATGAATATCATGTCACTAATTAGTGACTTGGTTTTCACGTGGGAACTTTATCTCTTATTTTTTTTATTTGCGACGTGTGATCTATGTCACAACTTTGTGACCTGTTTTCCATGTGGGAAAATGTTCCCACCATTGCATTTCCAGCGTGTTTTACCCACGTCGCAAAAGTTAATCAGTGAAGTGATTTTTGGGTTAGTGACGTAAAAATCACTTGGGAAAATGCAATGTTTCTTGTAGTGTGATATCATGCACTGAATATAAAATAAAGTATCTTTTTCATTAACTATTATATATGAGTAAGCAATGTTATCAAATTGCGGCGTCATGGCCGCAATGGCGATATACATAGCAGTTTTTAGGCTTGCCGCAATGGTAAATACCACCTGTTATTTCGGCGAGAATGATGTAGACTAAGATCCTCCATTTGACTCAGCCAATCCAGTCTCTGCTTGCTCTTGGTTCTTCTCATCTTTGCCTTAAATCTTGACTTTACCAACAAAGTTTGTACTGTATTTTCAAAGTTTCCAATGTCCATTACGACCAACAGAAGACCGCAAAATATTACCTGTCTGAAGAGTTACTGTCATTATAAGGCTAGCCTTTGCAATAAACAATAGCACCGGAACCAGGTTCATTTTCATGTGTTCCTAGTCAAATTTTGATAAGTAAAAAAGCTAGCAGGAGCATACCTGCCGTTCAGAAATCTCTCCAGCAAATGCAGTATAGAGAAACAATAGTCCAACATATACCTCAATTCCCTGAATCAAGATAGGATCACAAATACAGATGATGAATGTCCAAGCTTTTCCATGAAGTAAAACTTAATTGTTAGAACACAGATTGGTTCTTAATAATATCTCTATGTTTTGATGATAACTATTATGAAATTTTGTAATTAAGAATTATATACTCTAAAATTTGCTTGAGAATTTTTACTGCAGATAGTAAAGGAATTAACACTCCAGAAGCAAAATCAGAATTGAACATAAAAAATTAGCTAGACTCTGAAGCGTCAGATGCATCCATTAGAAGATTCTGATTGCTGCCAACAGAAGATCCTGAGCGTAGCCTCCAGAAGATTCTGAAGCAGAAGCTCCAGAAGGATCTGAAGCAGAAACTCCAGAAGAATCTGAAGCAAGTCAGAAGCATCTGAACCAAAGATGAATTCTGTATGAAGAGTTTTTCAAAGCATAGTTTCTACAGAAGATTCTGAAAGTACTAAAGCTGCCAGTACTGAAGATCTGTCTCAAATATGCTCTGATCTTAAACACGCTAAAAGCACACCTGCTGCAGAAGACTCTGATTCAGCAAAACTCTGATCATCATCAGAAGGCTCTGATCTAATTAGACTTTGATGAATTTGCTGAAAACTGAAGAAGAATTATTCAAAGTTTATATCCGTTGGAATGATCCAAATGACTCTTTCCTTATTTATGCTAGACACAAGAACACTGACAAAAAGGATTTTTCTGTGCTTTCTTCTTCTAGGAAAGGTCACTTGATGTGAAGACAAAAAGGCTCAGACCTTTTGGACACTCTTCTCAACGTGAAGCTCCCTTGGATCAGCTGCCTATAAAAGCAAGACTTCAACAATTTCTTTAGTTGACGTTATTTATTGAAAAGAAATTAACATTCAAGCTCTCATACAATTTTATATTCTTTCCAAGAATTTATGTCTTTGTTCTAAATAGTTAAGTGAAAAATCACAGTTTTGATAAAGCTTTATAGAAGCAATCTTAAACACTTGTACTTATTTTACATTTGATTGTAAACCTTAAGAAGATCCAGTTAAGATCAGTAGTTCTTGAGAGGATTTTGAACAGTTGTTCTT